AATATGCAGCTGACCATGCCAAATGAAACCCCAGCACGCTGGATAAAAGTAGTCTGCAGACATAGATAGCTTGATGTGTGTCTGAGTGTGTGCATGCATGTATGTATGTTGTACATGTGTGGTGGTACACACCTAGAACCCCAGCATGGAGGTGGCTGGTACAGAAGGATCTAGAGTTGGGTTACACAGGGAGAATATTTAATAAAGAGCAAAAGTTCACTCACAGTCAAGTCAGCACAGCATGGTGCGGGAGGAGGGGGTGGCTGTGAAGACCAGATGGGCGTGTGCTTGATCTCGATGGAGTGACAGGTGAAGGCCAGCATCATCTTTCTGGTGTGCACCTGCTGTGTGCTTGAGACAAGGTTCTCAGGCAGGGCAAAATGTCAGATCATACACTCTTTTTCCTCTAATTTAGAATGAAAGTCATTTCATAGCCTGTCAAGTTTTGGTTTTCTTGGCATCAAACAATTTCTGTCTCCAAATAGTTCATTTTGGAAAGAAGGGAGGCAGGCAAAGAAACACAGCTGGTTCAGCTTCATACTAAAGCCGTCCGTTGCCAGAAATAAACACACCTTGGACTCTAGAGAGAGAGATGGCCAACCGCTTCCTTCCTTTTATTCTCCGGGTGAGAAGTAACAGCTTGGTGTCTACCCTCATAAGAATGTCCTCTGTCTTGTGTGTTTCCAGATCAGAGAGGAGGAAAAGCACAGTTTCATTGCTTGCTTCCTCTGATGTTTTCCTCCTGGGGAGTGGAGACATCCAGAGTCATTGTCCACCAGGTTAGGTTAGGGACAGAACATCATTGGCATCACAAGGTGGGCATCACAGTGCTTCATCCCCTGGCTTTTTTGGTTTGCCAGGTTTATTTGGAACTCAGTGTAGCTTTGCATGGTTGTTGCTGGGCTTGCTGCTTGTCTTAGGGCTGGCAGGCAAGTGATTGAGGTGGCAAGCTAACTAACTACAGGCCTGTGGCTGTGCTCGTCCGTCCCCTTCATCTGCATCCCCAGAGCATTGGGGCCTCAGGGTACTAGGAAAGACACATGTGATGATGCAGGTGGTGGGGATATCACAGGGATTGGAAAACTAGTTAGCATAATTAAGTGGATTTTACATCACTGAATTGAAATTGTCTCATCCACACTCTGTCCTCATTAATCCTCTCCTCTTCCCATCCCTTAGCCAGCTTCTTCCGTGAACAAAGTTGGGTGTTTGCCCATGAAGCCCTACTTTGTGCTGCTGTCACCCAGTCTTCTTTATTTCTCCCTTAAAGACTGCATTGAGCTGGGTGGTGGTGGTGCACGCCTTTAATCCCAGCACTCGGGAGGCAGAGGCAGGTGGATCTCTGTGAATTCCAGGCCAGGCTGGACCGACAGCCTCCAAAACAATACAGAGAAACCCTGCCTCGAAAAACCAAAAAAAAAAAAAAAAAAAAAAGACTGCATTGACCACCCCAGTCTGTCGAGCTCTTAAGTGCTGTAGTCTAGCCTTGCTCGGGGACAGGCTTCCAGACCCAGATTCCCCATATCCACCTGGCATGAGAACACGAATTAGCCTTTCTGGTCTCAGTTTCCTTGAGAGGAAGATGAAGATGAGAGTGATGATTTGGATCCCTCACCTGGTGTGTTGGATACACTTACTTAGAGTGCATTGGCAGATGGTGAGTGGCCATAAATATTGCTGAGTGATGCCAGCTGCACAGTTGGTGCCATCTTGTACAGGTCTGATTTTAAAGCATTAATGAGGTGTGCTTGCTATCAGCTCCTTTTGTTTCTGAGGCTTATTTTTTGTTTGTTTGTGGAAGGGTCTCTCACTAGCTCAGGCTGGCCTGTAATAGAGTGTTCCTCCTGCCTTCGTCTCCTGAGTGCTGGAATTATAGATGTGCACTACACATCTGACTTGTTTTTCAGAATAGTATCTACAGTCCTGTGTTTTCTTGATCCCTTCCTGGCTTTTTGGGCCTTACCTGCTCTGCCACAGTGTCCCAGACTGCTGTCCTCGTGTGTGATGCCCAAGCACAGCTGTGCCTCATCAGATGGCCCTGCCTTCTGAACCCCAATCACCAGTCAGCTCCCAGGAGCAGACATGCCATGTCCTAGGATTTCCTGCCTTGGGAAAAGGTAGTAACTTCCCATTACCTGACTGTATCACTCAGGGTTCGCTGGAGTAGCAGAACTTAGAGAATGGAAGGGAATTTGCTAGAACGACTGACACAATGTGGTTCAACTAACCCAACAATGGCTACCTGTGTATAGAAGGTCCCAAGAATCTAGTAGTTACTCAGCCCCTGAGACTGGTGTCTCACCTGGTTTTTAGTATCTGCCAGAATCCTAAAGAAGTAGTCTTTAATGCCAGTGAAAAAATGGACTTGCTAGCAAGGGTGGGAGGAAGCAGGCAGAGAGCAAGCTTCCTTCTCCTGTGTCCTTTATGTAGGCTGCCAGGAGGAGGAGGGTCACAGATCAGAGATGGACAGTCTCACCTCAGAAGATCTGGATTAGAAGCGGATCTTCCCATTCCAAATGGTTTACTTAAGCACAGATCCCTTACTGGTGTGCCTAGCCATTTTTGTTTTTGTTTTTTTGTTGTTGTTGTTGTTTTGTTTTGTTTTTCGAGACAGGGTTTTTCTGTATTGTTTTGGAGGCTGTCCTGGAACTCGCTTGGTAGACCAGGCTGGCCTTGAACTCACAAGATCCACCTGCCTCTGCCTCCTGAGTGCTGGGATTAAAGGTGTGCGCCACCAACACCTGGCTCACTTTTGGGTTTTAATTAATTCTAGATATAGTCAAGTTGACAACCAAGAATAACCGTCACACTGACCTTACATTATGTATGTCTATGGGCTGACACTACTGAGTAGAATTCATAATGCAAACAAGAATAGCTGGATACATTACACACCCGTGACTCCAGAACTTGGGAGGCCAAGGCAGGCCAGCCTGAGCTACATACAAAACCTAGATGAATGAATGAATGAATAAGCGAGCGAGCGAATGAACACAAGGAACTTCATCTCTTTTGATCATCATGTTATTCCCAGGGTCTGTGTGTATGTGTATGTGTGTGGTAAGGCTGAAAACATATTTGCTGAATGAATAAATGGATGGGCAGCCAGTGTGGGTAGGTCACGAGGACTTTATCCTCTCCTTACTGGAATTACCAGATAGGTGCAGAGGTCCAAACTGACTTTAAATATTGTGAACACGTGGGGGAGGTGTGCATAGTGAAGGTCAGAGAAACTGTAGAGTTGGTTCTCTTCCACCTTTACATGCATCCCAGGGATTGAATTCAGGTCATTTGGCTCACAGAGCAAATGGTTTTGCCCACTGAGCCATCTCAACCTCTCCCCAATTTACCTTTTGAAACAAGATTCCAGCAGGAGAGAATTCAAGTTTTATGTTATTCCCCATCCCACTCTTCGATTTCCTACAACTTTCTCAACTAACTACAAGTGGTAGGTCTTGATGCTGAGCTGGTGCTCTCTGACCGTTTTCATGGGAACTGTTGTGAATCTTTGGCAGACTGCTCAGCACTCCTTTCCCCTCTCCCCAGGCTATTTTGTCATCACTAGACACTAACACTAAAGCAAATGTTTATGAAGTCCATTCTGAGTCAGGACAAGTAGAGAGGTAAGGGAATGCTCACCAACCTGCCTATGATGGAAAGCAGGCCGTCACGCTGTTCAAGGATTCAGATCCAAAATGCTTCCCAATCTGTTAGAGATGAACCACTGGCCAGTTAAAAATTAGCATTTGTCACATATCTAAGTCTAATGGTAGATGACTTTTGGAAACATTAGGTAATCGTTCCTGGAGATTTATCCGGAAGCTGTCTCTCACTCGCCAGTGGATAGCCTCCCCTCCAGTTCTGTACTCTGAACTACCGTCAGCTGACAGGAAAGTGGAAGCGGCAGTTGCAAAAATCACAGTGGCACTGAGCAGCTTAAAACAGTTTCGTCTCCGTCATTTTTCGAGGACACAGTGGATTTCTGCTTGCCACTTTTCCTATAAGCCCTTTTGGGCTTTTCTATCATCAAAATCTGACAGTGGCATGGATTTCATAAAAAAAAAAAAAAAAAAAAAAAAACGATGTCCAAGTCACTTTAAATTCAAATACTTGTGCCCTTGAAGGGTTGATAAAAGAAGAGTATAAATACAAAGGAGAAAAAAATTAGCATTTGCCACATATCTAAATCTAACTGTAGATGACTGCGTTGATTGTCTCATTGCTTCCTTTGATCCCTCAGCTTGAGTTCATGGGTGGCATGAGCTGAGAGCTGACAGTGCCACTTCCTCCTAACTGTAGGGTTTCTGTTGACCCATTCTGTCCAACATTAGCTGATTGCATGCATGCTTCCAGAGCACATGGATACTTGGTGCCTCTGTGGACATTATCTCCTTGATGTCTCACACTCAACAGTCTCCTGAGCCATGTCTCGATGAGGTGAGCAAAACATAGTTTCCTTTCCCACTCAGGAGGGGTTGGTCTCTGGTGTTGAGTGAGTTTCTTGTATTCATTGACATGATAAGAGAGGATATTTGGAAATTGCCATCTAAATCATGTTCAACCAGTATCATTAAAAGTCAGGTTGCACCAGGTTGGGGTAGTTCATTCCTCAGATTTAGTTCCAAGGCTAGCTCAGGAAGACAGAGCTCCACTGAGCAGGCCAGAAACCCACCTCCTTAGTTTCCAGAATATACAACAGTCAGGACAGTGAATTCCAGAAACCCTTCTGACTTCTGTTATTTAAAGCAGAGAGGTCACTGGCTTGTGATAGCTCAGGGTCTCCATCATTTGGTTCCCTGACTCCATGCTGGTTCATTCTATTGCTGCAAAGCTGCCACTGAGCTAGGTTCGCCAATCTTGGATTGCTTACTGGCCTATGCTGTGTTCTTTGTAAATGTCAGCATAAGATAGCCTTACCTCTCCTTATCACACTTAGGTGTGAATCAGAGTTCTGTCTCATAAATGTTCCCTCACAGATCATTTACCTTGTTGTTTTTCAGGCCATGGTTGCTTGTTACCCAGGCAACGGAACAGGCTACGTTCGTCACGTTGATAACCCAAATGGAGATGGAAGATGTGTGACATGTATATATTATCTGAATAAAGATTGGGATGCCAAGGTATGCAACTGAATTCAGCAGTAATGGTTTTTCCTCAACTATATTTTGTTTTCCTCACAGTAATATCTGCACTTGCATGGGTGAGGCTGGATTAAGAGTGCAATTCTCTCTCAAGCCCGGTTCAGTCTTGGATTTTTGTGAAGTGAAACAGATCATATTGTGTCTGAAAACTAGCACAAATGTATTAAAACATAGTAGCGCACCTTGCACAGTATGTGTCTATGGGTGGTACTGTGGTAGAAGTGGCCCTGGTGGAGCACACTGGTAGTCCCTGGACTTGAGAGTTGGAGACAGGAGATTCAGGAGTTCAAGGCCATCCTCAATAACAGGGGAAGGCTGCTTGGTTCACGAAGGTTTCCAGTGGGAGATGAATGTCAACCAGCTAGTTAACCTTAAATAGCCGGGTGGAAAGAAAAGATGCTTTTGCCCTCCCAGTCTGACAGGTCTCTAAGTGTTTGCAGGATGCCCTGGCATTCACTGACACACAGAAGTGAGGAAGCAGGCCATTTCCTAGTGACTGACATCACCAGGCATGAGCCCCTAGTTCACTGTCTGGGTTCTAGGTTAGGTTTAGGGCAAGGCATTCACGTGCCTTTCAACTTTGAGCTCACCTGCTCAGGAGCATTGTTTGCTGGGCTTGCTGGTACACTCCTGTGACCTCAGCATTTGAGAGGGCAAAAGAAGCAGGAAGATCAGAGGCTGAGATCATCCTTGGCTACATGGCAAGTTCGGGGCCAGTCTGGGTTGAGACCTTGTCTCAAACAAACAAACATAAAAACAACAAAATTTCTTCAGATTGGTGATTTTAGTCTAGTGTTTTTCCTCATAGTCTAAAAACACAAGGACCAGGTCGATGTGCATGTCCCCAACTCTTCATGTAGAGTCCCATGGCTCCCAGTGCACTTGATATATTGTCTGTGATGATTGTCCAGTCAAGAGAGCTGTGGTCTAGCTAAATGAGTTGTATGGGTGGAGCTGGGCTGTTAGCAGCTATGGTTAGAATTTAGACCAGGCTACATGGGGATAGCTGGGTGCAGAATGAGTTAGGAGTGGAGATGACTCTGTAGGCCAAGGCACCTGCTACCAAACCCGAGGATCTAAATTTGATCCATGGGATTTATCAACTCCCAAAAGTTGTCCTCCAATTTCCACAATTCACATAAATGTAGATTAAAAAATGAATTCAAGGCTGTAAGTTCACCTGCTTGTTACATGTGTTGAAAGTTAAAGCATGATGGTTGTTTATCTGATGGGACAAACAAACCAACCATTTTCCTATGGGAAACCATTCAGCAAAGTGGTTTAGTGCCAACATCAACATGAATAGAAATGCTCACTGGTTTTCAAAACTTGTAAGCAGGTTTGGTGATTTTGTATATTTGACTGTTTCAAGTGCTTTACAACAAAAAGGAATTTTTCCATGCATTAGTGTTGTATGTGGAGTCTTGGCTCACTATCACACCTGTTAGTTACATAATTGTGTTCATTTTGAGTCACTTAACTATCCCGATCCACCCCCCAATTTAACCTGGTCCCATTCTTGGTGGCTCATACTGGCATACTCTCTTTTCCCAGGTAAGTGGAGGTATACTTCGAATTTTTCCAGAAGGCAAAGCCCAGTTTGCTGACATTGAACCCAAATTTGATAGACTGCTGTTTTTCTGGTCTGACCGACGGAACCCTCACGAAGTACAACCAGCATATGCTACAAGGTAGTGTTCTGTTCATGGAAAGTTGCTTGACCGTGTGGCAGGGCAGGGCTGAGTCCAAGGGTGAACCTGAAAGTTTCTGTGGAGCACCTGCCAGCCCTCCAGGCCCTCTGGTTTAATGTCTACTTAATTTGAATGATAATATGTGCGTACTCACACTTGGTCCTGAGAATGTCACTCTTTTCTTGGTTGCTCTTTGCTTGAGGTAGAAAAGGACTGGACCCCCTCCTCTGCCTGTGGCATGGGGCACCTGCTAACACTGCCCATTTCTGGATCATGTGCGTGTTTTCAGAGCACTTTTAGAAAAGTAAAAAAGAAAAAGGGAGGCCTTTTGAAAACCTGAAAAACAATTCTGAGATCAGAAGTGAGGAGAAAGGGGATCTGAGGGATAGACATGGAAGTGGCCATGTGTGGGAAGAGTGCCCTTCACCCGTAGTCAGCCTTCATGTGCTGCCATGTGTGGTCTGCCACCCACGGCGCCCTTGCTCGCCCTGCTTCTGAGCTGTGCCTCCATCGCTGATTCACAGCAGGCAGCAGCTGCATGGTGGAGCCTGAAATCATAGGTGCCCTGACAGGAAGCCTGGGAACCAGGCCCAGCACACACACGAGGCCAGAGGTACAGACAGCAGAGGGGCCACTGGGCCAGAGAGCAAAGGCCAGAGCCCATCCTGGTCTGTATAGCCCAGGCAGAGGGCAGACTGTTGAAGTCTGGAGACAGAGATAGGTGTGAAGAAGGCATCTCTGGAAGCCACATGTAAAAGAAAGGAAAGTAGCAGAGTTTTCTGGGGAGGACTGGGGGGGGAGCTCTGGGAGGAGTCGATAAGACATCAGAATTCTAATTGACAGGTAACTGACAGCCTGGGACACGGGCAAGAGAGATTCAAAACTACCCATGTATCCCTGTTCTCTGGAAGAGGCCATGGTAGAAACAGGAGTGGCGCCTGGGGAGAGCAAGCGAGCTGCTGGCCAGTGGAAGAGTTGATGCTCTGCACTGTCACCTGGCTCTGCCCTGCTTTTGACTCCTCAGGCAGGGTGACACGATTAGGCAGCTGTTGATTTGGGCTGTTGCTTTTCCCATGCACTTTGGCCTGAATCTACATATTCTTACCTAATGTCAGCGAGTGACCAATGGCCTGAAGCACATGCTCACATCCAGTGTCTGTCCCCTTGCTCCACTGTTTACACCAGCAGGCACTGCCACATGCTTTTATCACTGAACAGACCTGTTACACCACATTTATTTGTGGGGTGAAATAGGCCAGTTAGGTGAGATTTTTCAGAAAAAAGTTCAGCCAAACTCAGTGACAAATGTGACTTTCTAGGTAGGAATCCTAGAAGTTTCTGAGTGTGGCTGCTGGCCTGGGTGTCTTTGTCCCAATCACTGCCCCCTCTGGGCTCTTTCCCCTCTTTTATCTGTTTCTGACCATGCAGGCTGGGTGAGTGTGGAGAGAGTCTGTGAGGCTCCCTTGGACGCTGCGGCTCATCTGTGGGATGAACAGGCCACACTTGCCCGCTACATACATCCGTCTGAGGATGCTTCGGGCTTTACAAGTTGTCAGGAACACTTTCTTTCCAGGGACCATTCTGACCCTATCTTAAATTTCCTTCTAGGTACGCAATAACTGTTTGGTATTTTGATGCAGATGAGCGAGCAAGAGCTAAAGTAAAATATCTAACAGGTAAACACAGCTGGGGATCTGGCTTGGCTGGAACAATTGGGGATGGTGTTTTCCAAAAGCTACAGTTCAAGAATGTTTGGCCGGATTTCTGAATTCCCTTACTTTAAAAAAGATTTCTCTAATTAGTCTTTATTCTTATCTGCTGAGATTGTCCAAAGCTTAGCAAAAGTTGAGGCAAGTATGGGTTAGTAACACAGCTTCTGTGATGGCCCTTTAGAGCCTCGAGCTACTCCTCAGTGCTCTTTGGTTACCTAGCCCTCCCCTTCTCCCTAAGATAAGTGAATACCCCTGCTTTTCTAAACACTCCCTCTAAAGAATGTATGACCACAAGGAAGTCAGCTCAGAAAAGGCATACTAAATGTTTTCCCAACCCGGGAGACAGGTATGTGGATTCCCAGGTGCCAGCTCTGCATGTAGGTCTTGTCCTGTCCCTGTGTGTCCTGGGACGGTGGCCTGTGCTGCTCAGTGCTCACTTGCCTGCCTTTGCTTTAGCATCTGCCCAGTAGTCACAGAACCCACTGAGTTTTAAGGAGCTAGACTCAGCCTTTTGTAAGAATGCAAAAATAGGGTGTACTTTGTATCTTCAGAGCTATGGTTTGTATTACTATGGTTTTCCACTACTTTATAGTCAGGTGGCTTTAAATTAAAAGTCAGTGGTGTTGTTTGTGTCCGTGTCTCTGCAGAGCAGTGCACTTGCCACAGTGGCAGTGGGAACAGCTGGTGGGATAGGCCTTGTGGGATGCTGAAGAAATGAGGTATTGCTTCAAATGCTTGGGGTGCAGTCACAGAAGCTCTGGTGCTTAATGAGTGAATGCTTTTCTTTTTCTTGCAGGTGAAAAAGGAGTGAGGGTTGAACTCAATAAGCCTAATTCAGTCAGCAAAGATGTCTAGCAGGGCCTTTGGTCCGGCAGTACCCACATCACCTACAGCCACTCGATTGCCTTCTGTGGACTCGTGGATGGGGATGAACAGAGACTCCTGGCTGGTATCCCAGCTAGGAGCCAGGCGACTTTGCCAGGTGTCGTCCAACAGAGGGCCCCATCTGCTGTGACTGTTCTGTGGGGTCAGCTCCAGATCTGTGACTGCACTTGACTGCTGACTGAAGAGGAAACACTGTCTGAGGAGAGTGGCTTTTCCATCTGGACACGAAACAAGGGCCCTATATAGGATTTTCTTCATTCTTCTATTTTGCCAGATCTGTCATCTGAGTTTATTTCATCTTTTTTATATCAAGTTTGAATTCGGGGAATTTTTGTATTAGGTACAATTTATCAAAACTGAATTAAGAAAAAATTTACAGTATTATTCCTCAAAATAACATCAATCTATTTTTGTAAACCTCTTCATGCTATTAAATTTTGCCCTAAAGACCTCCTATGATGATTGTCGCCAGTGACTGATGATTCGGGTTTTTTTTTTTTTTGTTTTTTGTTTTTGTTTTTTATTTTTGACTGAAAGTAAAGAAAGGGCGTTGAGTTCCAGTTGAAGTCCACAAGGTTTTTGTTGGCCTGTCTCACAGTGATTTGAACTTAAAGGTCTCTGCTGTCACACTTTGACCTTGGTGATAGTGAAACCTAACAGTAGATGGTCACCACTGACTACCAAGTAACTTACAGAATTATGAGAGGAAAAAAGCCACAGGAAAAGGGTTTATCTTAGAGTCAATTTTTTAGCTACACAACTGGCACTGAATAGCTTGAGGTCCTCCTCTACTCTGGTCCCCAAGACAAAGGGCTTTCTTCTGCGTCAGGTCTGGCCTGTCATCAGACCCGCTGCCACAGTTTCCCCGTGGTGTCTGAATTTGACTGTGCTTCCAGATCTTCCCAGGTCAGAGCCTCGCTCTGCTGCAGAGCACCCAGGGCCCCAGGCACATGGACACGTGTATGGTTGTAGCCTCAAGCGTGGTCATCGGCTTCTTGGACAGCTATGAGTCATTTTCACAGCCAGTAATAAAAGACATGTGTAGCTTAGAAATCAAAAGAAGTGTAAAACCTGATACTTTGTTTTGTGGGTTTTTCTCTTTTTAGAGAGAAGAAAGGGACAGTGGCATAGCCACACAAGGCCCGCCAGACTCTTGTCACCACTGTAGTCCCCTTAGGAAGCCAGACTTTGCACAGATTATGGGTGTAGCTCCTTGTCCCCTTGGGTGTTCTATCTCTGACCTTGATCTTTGCCAAAATGTGTGCTATGCAGAACTATTTCTGTGTATTTCACCTTGCACCAGTCTTAGCTGTGTAGTTTGTATCCAGTTAGAAACCTTTTCTGTGGAAAGCTCAGTAATTCTTATTAAGAGATTGCTATTGTTCATGTAAAACATGAAGAAAATCAAGTAAAGCTGAATGTGGATTGGGGGTTACTCAGCACTGTGCTTGCGTGAGGGGCTCATGGCAGGAAGTCCAGTTCTGTCCCACGTCCTTTCCTTCAGCCCCAATAACCGCTGACAACCTCTCCAGCAAGTGCCTCTGCCAGCCGGCCAGCTCAAGGTTTTGCCACCCAGCCCCGAAGCAGCATGTTTCAGAGTTGGCATGGTGGTAGAAGATCTGTCTGATTGGAGCATCAGCCTTGTAAACATGGGAGCCCCTGGTATACTTCGTATGGAACCTTTACTGGTATACCAAGTCTCAGACTCTGCCGCCTGGGGGTATACTTTCCAGACAAAACTTAAATTATATATCTTTTGGAAAGTTTATGTACTTTCCTGGAGGTCACTGTGAAAAGATCAAGAAATCATGCACTTAATACCCGCTTAAACTCTGAATCTCATGTTAGTGGCACGAAGCGGGGCTCTGTTTAAAACTTTGTGGCCTCCATGTGTTAACCCTGGTTAGAGAGAAAGCTTTATGATGCTGTCTATTTAGTACATTAAGCAGCTGTGGAACAGACTTTTATCCATGGTAGGCAGAGCACTTCAGGATTTGCATAAAGAGACTCGTGTGGTTCGGGTGCGGTGTTTTCCTATGAAAGCCTCTCACATTGCTTGTAAAGCTACTCTAATTAAAAAGATGTATAAATGTTCTTGAAAAAACTTAACTGTTGTCACCTCCAGCTTTCTTCTGTTTGTAGCCCATTATTATATGTTGGCTTTCATCATGGGCCCAATGGTCAGTTACTTATTGTCATGCATCTTTGGTCTAGTCCACAGCATGCAGCAATAACCTTCTGCAAGTAACAGCCAGTACAGATGTTCCAGGTGTGAAGACATTACTGCATGGTTAAGGTCAGAGAGCTGCACCTGCATTCTCAGTATCGCAGTTCTTTTCTCAGTAAGCATTCAAGTTGCTTTAAACACCGTAACTGTTGAATGTGTTATCAGTACTCCTGTGCTGCTGGAGGGGGCGTGGTACACACCTGCGGGGCCATTGGTATGCAGCTCTACATACATGATCCTTTGATTTGTGGTCACATGCAAGGACACAAGTTCTTAGGTCAGAGTAATAGGGGTATACTGGAGCTCTAAGGATCTAGCGCGGTGCCAGGTATAGTGGCACGCGCCTTTACTCCTAGCACTTGAGATGCAGAGGCAGGAAGATTGTGAATCTGAGGCCCACCTGGCTAGCCAGGCTTCCGTAGTAAGATCCAGTCTCCAAAAACCCCAAACAATGTTTTGGCTTCTCAGGGTATCTGGAAAACTGTTCTGAGATAGGCTGTGGAGTGGGTCAGAGGATGAGTGAGCTAGAACAAAGACTGAGTGTGCTAATGTAATGAAACAGAACAGCCTCTGGTTCTGATGTAACCTTCCAAGCCTTTTGTCTAGTTTTTGAGACAGGGTCTTGCTGTTACCCAGGCTGGCCTCAAACAGCAGTCCTGCTCAGCCTCTAGTGCTGTGCTCAGTTGTAAGACATCATTCTTGCCTGGGGTAGCTTTTAATTCTCAATGGCCTGCTGGAAACCTGAGCCTGCTTGGGCTGGTGGCCCTTTCTGCCCACCTGGCTCCTTGGACTCCTATTCACTGTCCAGTTTCCTGTTTCTCAGACTCCATGTCCCCAACTCCTGGTGCCCAAGATGTGGGCAGAATAGATGCTCTCAGGCCCACAGCTCAACCCAGTAAAGTGCAGGAACCCACACTGGAAACCTTAGATTCCGAGCGTTCTGGTGTGTAGATCCTGGAAAGCACCACCACTGGTTCTTTATGCTACTGGGCCTGTTAAAGTCTCCGGAATGTTCTTATCCCTGGGCTCTACAGTTTCACAGCTTATGTGCACCTTCTCAGCCCTGGTGAAATCATACCCCACTGCCTGGGACATTCTCTGCTTTCTTCCTGGTGCTACTCTTGCACATTGGGGACAGGGTAGCGTGTGAATTTAATTCTGCCATGTGCTTTTCTGGGAAGTAACTACCTCACCTCTAAAAGTGAGTGCTGAGGGGCATCAAGCAGCCAGAGGTTCTACTGTGTTTGCAAGGCAAGGGAAATCAAGCCTTTCCAAAGGAAAGGATGAAAGTTGAGATTTGGCTGCTGTTGGCAACTGTAAAGCGTAAGAAAACCTAAATGCACCCAAATGAACATTTTCTTGGGTGAAATTAGAAAACCAGGTCCGGCACCATGGTACACTCCTGCAGTTAATGCTACAAACGAGGCAGAAGCCCAACTCGGGAGTTCATGGCAACTGGATTCACATAGTAAAATCCCAAATCTCAGAACTAAACAACCTAAAAGGAAAGGCAGGCAAGGGGAATAGTCATCCCTTCAGGGAACAGAAACAAGATTGAAGAGTTGACTCAAGTTAAAGCCAAGCACCAAGGGCCAGTGAGATAGCAGCCAACACTGCCAAGTCTGACCCAAGTTCCCTTCCTGAAACCCATGTGGTAGGAGAGAACTGACTCCTGCAAGTTGCCCTCTGACCAATACATATGCTGTAGCATGAGCAAGTTCTCCCAAAAATTAAAAGGGAAAAAAGCCTTTAAGATGTTCAAGGAAAGATTCAAATGAAAATACAATGGAATAGAAATGAAGCCCTTAGGATAAAACTGTCCAGAAGTGTTAGAAAGTGAAGCACAGACACACCACACCTGTGCTCTGAGCTTACAGTGCTATGTGGTCCCAGCAGTATCAGAATGATGGTTTCCCTGGTGTATGGAGAAGCCACCCTCCATCTTCCACTTCTGGTCCCTTGGAGTAGCTATGGGAATACTCAACTAAAGTCACTGTGGGTCAAGTTATTTTAAAGGAAACTAGCTGTTGGTTGTGTGGTTTTTTGAGACAAGCTCTCACTCTGAGACATCATACAGTCCTCCTGCTTTACTGAGTGCTGGGATTATTCCTGATCTTGTTTGTTTGTATATGTAAGCATACAAATGTGTATTTATGAATTTAGTTTTTAAGACAGGGTCTCACTGTGTAGCTCTGGCTGGTTTAGAATTCAGAGATCTATTTGCACACACACACACAATGTATGTAAAGAAAAAACTAGAGGTAGGATCAATAGAGATTAAGGATTGAAAGGAAGGTTCCAAGACTTCAAATAGCCAGCTTTGAAAGGAATTTCAGCTAAACATCCTGGACTTATTATCTACAGCAAGCAGTTGATGTTGCTACTGGAAGACTGAGAACCAAGATGGCAAATGTGTGATCTGATTCCTATGTGTGCTCTGCACCCTGGTTTGAGTATGAGATAACATCCTGATGTCTGCCCCCTAGAGTGCAACATTCAGGAGGATATACTTGTTATAGCTTCCCAGCTGATGTTCCCTTTTACTTTGTATCATTCTACTGACTGGCCATCTTCTAGTCTATGCAGATTTTGGGCCAAACTGAGTATGATCTAATATTCTGTATCAAAGAAAGGGGAAAATACCTCAGCTCAGTGACAAAGATGAGAACACCAGAGCTAGTGCTGCATGGCCAGGGTAGTCCTCCTAGGTAATTGTCAGGAGCCAGGCATTGGCAGTACACACCTTTAATCCCAGCACTAAGAAGGCAGAGGCAGGCGGATCTCTGTGAGTTTGAGGCCAGCCTGGTCTACAGAGTAAGTGCCAGGATAGGCTCCAAAGCTACACAGAGAGACCCTGTCTCAAAAAACAAAAACAACAACAAAAAAGAACACATCAGGCCTGAGGATGTAGTTCAGTGGTAGAGCACTTAACCAGGTACATATAAGGAGACAGGTTCCATTCTCAGCACCACAAAAATGAAATCAGAAAGACACACCAACTGCTTTACATCAAAACATTATAATTTATTTTAAAATTCTGTAAAGCTTTGAAAAAATACAATCTTAAGAGTTTTGGAACAATGAGACAGGATGAGGTTTTAGTCAAGTGTTTTCCCATTTACCTCTGATCCCAGTTAGGGTGTGTGTGCACAGTTGGCCAAAGCCAAACAAAGGTTTCTCAATGTTTTGCTAGCCAGCATGAACAGGGATGTAAAGGCAAGGTTCTACAGAAACAGAACCTATGGCTGTGGCCCTACAGTGGGGCACTGAACCAACTTTAGCTCTACTGTGAGGTTAGAAATTTCTTCCAAAGGGAGAATTCAAACAAAATGGAGCACATTTCACTGATAAATGTAAATATAAATGACAGATATAGGGATAACTATTATTAGGGGCAAATTTTCTCTAACAAGTATGGACTCATTAAATTTCCACTTTCCCTCCAGCATTTCAGAAGCTGATGCTGCCTCCCAACTACACTGGTACCTTCTACACCCAGCTCCTCCTTCCCTCCTGCCCTGTGTTACCCAGCACTGCACAGATGACTAGAGTACACAGCACATGTAATCCTACCCTCATGTGGCTAGGCCTGGCTACCTGCACTCTTCCTCCTGCCATTGGCCCACATCGCCCACTCCACCTCCACAGCTTGTTTCTACGGGATGTGCCCAGCTACCTCCCTGCCTATTGAGGCCCTTCATCTCCTTTTAATAAGCTAACTCCACTCACTAAAAAACAGTGCCAGGGTGAAACCCCATCCCAGCACTGTCAATATGGCACTGAAGTTAATCTGCATCTTTCCCCACCAAGGATGTAGCTCCAGAAAGGCATGAACTACCACCTTATTTACATCATAGCCCTAGAACTTCATGTAGCTGGGCTCAAAAAATACTTAATTGCCTATAAACTGTTAAATTTATGAAAATATGGACTATACTTAAACACAAAACTTTAATAGCTATTTATGTATAAACATTTAATACTATTTAAACTTGTTATGCAATCTGACAGGCTAAAGATCCTGTCAAGAATGCTGAAAAGTTGACATTACACTTGCACACTGCTGAAGGAAGGGAATTCAGAGTTTGACAGAGCTGAACACAGACCCTGTGACTAGTCCCACTCTGAGTGGATGTTGTCAGCATTACTTAGCCCTGCACTGGGATACTTTCAATGGTTCAGTAATACTGGGGTGAGGGGAAAACTTCTGGTATCATTAAATTCTACAGAGGAATGAAAATAAACTTCTACACAGTAACAAAGATACTACCTTCACACCCTCTGGTAAACTGTGACCTTGGGAATGGAGAAGGTAGGTCCTATAAAGGGACAACTACAACAGGACTCCCCCATCCTCCCTTAGGGAGATAAAGGAGGAAGTTACACAGTGGAACACTGGGCAAACTAGGTTCACCCAGATGCTCACAAAATTTGTGCACCTTAGAACGTATAAATGACCTTGTAGCAAAGTCAGCAAGGTGGAGGGACAGCCATGAGACAAACTGAGCCGAATAATGTGTCTCTCTGCTGAACATGGAAAGATGCAAGCCCCTTCCGATACTCAGATGATGGTGCTTTTGCTTTTCCCACTGCATAGAGTTCCCAGTGCTGCTTCTGGACAGTTTTCTGCTATCCAGAGAATTAGGCAGCTTTGTGAGATGTTATGTATCAGTTACTTTTTAGCACCAAGTTTTAACCATTCACTTAAGTCCCCCTCAAATCTGGCCCGCAGAACCGAGTAACTGCTCTAATATTCCAAAACAACTGTACTATTATATACTCTGTATCTACTCTAAAATCTGCTGCCACCTCTTGACAAATAAATATGGGATAGAGGAAAAGAAAAGTTTTTGTTTGTTTTGTTTTTGAGACACGGTCTCATTATAGCCGAGGTTGGAACTTAAGCCCAAGCTGGCTTTAAATAAACTCCACAGCCATCTTCCTGCCTCTGCCTCCCAAGTGCTGTGATTTTAAGCATGAGATAGAAAAATTCTTTTAAATACAGGAGGGTCTTTAAAATCTGCCACTTTTTAGTAAAGGTGGGACAGATTTTATATATACATATTATACTTAAAATAAAAATTGCTGAAAATACAGAAGTCTTTAAAATTTGCTACCACCTTTATACAGAAAGTAAATTCTTTTAAAATATAGGAAGCTTATCCACTGTTATCATTTTGAAAAAAAAGAAAAGACAGAAAAAGACAAAGAGCCCTGAGTACTTTTAGAACTACTATGCTTCACACTGTCTGGATAGAGAATCTTACATCTTAGAGATTAACATCAGCTCAAAGAATGGGCCTTAATATTAAAAGTGTTCAACTGTTGGGCTCATGGTAAGATTATCTTAAACTATACAAATCAAAATAGTACTCTAAAACCTTCAAGAACAAGAGAAAACTAAAGTACCTAAAATCATACGTTGATGCAGGACAATCTGAGCCAAAATCCTGGTAAGGCATGGGTGAACACAGCACCTTCACATAAGATCCTGAGACAGTGGCTTTACCCTGTCTCATTACCCAGGGTTATGGGCTCAAGTGATGTTCCTGCCTCAGCTTCCTGAGTACCTGGGACTACAGGGACATACCACCACACCTGGATGGAGACAGACTACAACTGCTCACTATGTATATGTAAAACAGAATACTGCTGGTGTAATAAGTCAGACTGTAACCTACAGGTCCTTCACCTGGAGGGCACCACCACCACAAGCCAGCAGGTGGTATGGGACCCACTGCATTTCAGACTCTTCGAGGTCGGAGATTGGTTTTGTTACCTTCCAGGCAGCGGTCCAAGTGCTCATTAATCCCTGATTCCAAAACTACCCTCTGACAGACTGGACAGTTGACCAGTCGTCGCTGACTGCATGAGCTGCTTGAACTCCGAACTGTGCTGGTGGCTGAGGGCCCTGAGTTATTCTGAAGCTCACCACCACCACTGTGTGTTTGCTCCTTGATGATATTATCCAAAGCAGTCCTGTCTTCCAACCTGTGTCGCTTGTTTGGGAACTGGTCTTCAGATGCACTTTCCTCTTGGGATATGGTTGAAGGTGTCACAGTTGCAGATGCCACAGTTGCCGATGCTGATGCCATGACTTTGGAGGCATTTCTCAGGGATGCCCTGGAAGGTGGACCCTTTCTCTGAGAACCAGATGAGGCTGAATACTTGGTGCCATCCCCAATGGTCCCATTCTTTACTGGGGATCCATTCACATTTCTGAAAGCCTTTTGGTTGGCAACAGAAACTCTGGGGAAGTAGCTGCTCAGGACACTTTGGTGACTAGCAGTGGGAGCAGGGGAGACCAGATGAGGTCTTTTACTTGGGAAACCATTCTGTTCACATTTCACCTCAAGGCTGGAATCAAGTATCAGGCCACTTGCTGAATGGTCTTGATTTGAGAGACCTTTGGCTTCATTAACCATGTGTGAGGTGTTCAACTTCCCAGGTAAAGGGCAAGAGCTTGCATCTCCAAGAACATACCCTTTTCCACTGAATGGGATAAGGGGCTGCACCTCCCCTCTGCATAGCTTGTCTGCAAAGGAAATAGACAAGACTCTTCCTTAATAGACTGCCACAGCGACAAACACTGAGAAAATGGTGGCTTTATCTAAAATGAAGGATTACTTTAACTCAGATCTGTGCAGTAGTCACCTATTAACAAGAGAAGGCAACCTTCAATAGTTAGAGTCCTGTACTGAAAGAACAGGAAGGATGAAGACATTATAGGTGGAAGAATCCAAGTGCTAGGTTCCCCTCATCTGCTCTCTCTCCTTACCTGGTTTCCCTCTGCACCAGTTCTCTAGTCTACTGACTTCTCATCATTTCAGATTAGCAACTACAGCCTACCCCACCAAACTGACAACCTCTGCAAAGAGAAGCATCAACTTCAGTAACTGCTGCCTCCGTGGAGCTCCTAAGGGAAGGAGCAGAGCCTAAGGATGACACAGGGACAAAACACAAGTTGAATTCCTTTCCCATCCTCCCAAGATACCTCGGCAGAAGTCACTGAGATGGGAAGGGTCAGCTTGGTCAGGACTCACACTCTGGGTGCTGTTACTTCAATTACTGTTTCCCCTCTGACAGTCATTTGCCTTGGACTATCCCTCACATACTGCAAGGGGAGACCACTTCACCTTTCCTCATTTCTACACAGGGCAAAGCACACTTTCCCACCATCACTTTATGTTCTTTATATCTGGAAAGAACAGCCCTGCAATAACCTTACCCCAGTTCCCTGACAGGCAACCCTGTCCACGCACTAGCCATGGTCAAGAGATGAGATGGAGAGGTACCTTTAGTCTCCACTGCTGATGCCAGCTGCTTGCTTGGTTTTGTCTTTCCTCTGCCTTTCTTGGAATAGTTTTCTGGCTCCTTGATTTTTATGTAGGTGCCTCCACAAGTTTTCTGGTGATCAGCCCACCAGTAGTCATGGGCAGAGGGTGCCCGGTTGGTTGCACGCTTCACATAGCCATAATAGGGCTGTTTGTACTGGCAGGGCCCATTGCAACGCCACCAGTGCCGACGATACTCATCCACCTCATCATGGAAAGTGTGGTAGACCTGGGCAGAGGGAAGTGCCCAGCAGTCAACACACAGGTTAGACACTCTACAGACATACTTTAGCCAGTGAGCCTTTGGGTGAGGTTTTTTGGGTTTTTTTTATTGTTACTTTTTTTTAAAATATTCTATTTCTCAGACATTTCTAAAAAGTTCTATTTTGGGAAAGCCAGCTACTATATTTAGTTTCTTTTCAAATGTTCACTTTAAAGGGACACATCAGGTAATTTAAAACTTCCTTATGTATAAAAATAGCAGTATATATAAAAAAGATTTTGACGTATAGGGGGAAAAACATAAAATACCTCTATGAATGCTAAATGTTTCAGAGATTGGACATTATTAAAAGCTAGACAGAGGGCTGGAGAGATGGCTCAGAGGTTAAGAGCACTGCATGTTCTTCCAGAGGTCCTGAGTTCAATTCCCAGCTACCACATGGTGGCTCACAACCATCTATAATGAGGTCTGATGCCTTTTCCTGGGGTACAAGCATGTACACAGATTTAAAAAACTGTATGCATAATAAATAATTTTAAAAAACTTAAAAAAAAAAAGCTAGATAGAACTGGCCAGGCGATGGTGGTGTATGCTTTTAATCCCAATCCCAGCATTCAGGAGGCAGAGATGCAGAGGCAGGTGGATCTCTGTGAATTCAAAGCCAGCCTGGTCTACAAAGCTAGTTCCAGGGCTGCTAGGGTTATTACACAAAGAAACCCTGTCTCGAAAACTAAAACCAAACAAACAACAAAAAGCTAGTACTGAAAAGTTGCTTACTATAGCACAGTAATAAGCTTGTAACAAGGAAAAAAGGTTGAAACCAACTGAGAGGGATTTCTCTCACAGAAGAAAGCATACAGATTTCCTTAAAGTGTAAATTCCTAGAAACAATATAAACTGCTAAAGGGCCAAACAGCCAGATCCTTTCTATAGAAAACCGAAAAACTCCCAGTCTCAAGCTGTGCTAATACACTGCACGTCCTTGCTCTCAAGGTCTCAAAAAGCAGGCAGCGTTGTTACATCACTTGCATGATAACAGACAGTTCCAGAAGAGTTCAGTGGTACAAGCATGATCACCAGCATAGGGAGGGTACACCTCAGCCTTGGCTGTGATATCTCCTCCAATACTGCACTGTCAGGACTTAAGAGCTTCTGATGAGGGACTATCACAGATGTGGGAGAAGCTCCTCCTGAAGGTCCGGAACAGTGTAATGCAGGAGGAACAAAGGAGCAGGCCTCAAATGCTGATCTGGAGTTGCTGGAGGCCTCAAGAAAAAGGATTGCTGGCTCTGTAGCCACTCTACCCCTAGGGCCTAGACAAGTCCATTCATTTCTGTAGGATTCTTGTCCTACTGAATGAATGTAAGTATTCTAACTTTGAATGGCTGCTAGCTTGGTGGCACAAACCTTATAAGCCCAGTACTTAGGAGGCTGTGTTAGAATTGCTGAGTTAAGAGTTTGAGGACAGTCTGGTTCAGTGTTTTGCCCCTGCTCCCAAAACATATGTAGCTCAGTATACCGTTATGTTGGCTCCTGTCAGTTGGTTGATTCGATGCATATGTTTACAGAACTCTGGGCCATGTCCTTCCCGGTCTTTATCATTATTAGTGACAAATAGGTAGGCATGTATCATTTCATGCAAAAGAGTCTGAAACAGAAAATCAGCAAATTAATTTTCTAGGGCATGTCTGAAGATGAAAATGCATTCTTTCTTAACCTGGAGTCTTAGCCATCTGCAGGCCCAAGTACACAAAATATTGCATATACTATTTCAAGATCTGCAGATTCCAGTAAAAAAAAAATCCCTTCAAGGAATTACAATTGCTCAAAAAAGGCCTATTTATCTACCAACTCAAACCCTAAAGGTTGGTGCATTCAACCACAAAAAAACCTTAAAATTCTGGTAGAGAAACCCAACATAAGCAAAGCCAAAAGATAATTATGACAACTCTGCAATATATCACAAGCTCTGAATTTTGAACATAAGGGACTCCTGATGCCAAGATGGAAATGCCAACTCCAAAAGAACAAATAGCCCAGGCCTAAATGGGCACAAAGATAAGTATACACTAGGCATGAAGCAATTTGTGATGCCAGCACTCAAGGTAGAGGCAGAAGGGTCAGGAGTTTGAGACCAGCACCAGACTCTACCTCCCTCACTATCACCCCTAAAGACAGCTGGGTTCATGCATGCCAGCTCACTGAGGAAGCTGAAGCAAGAGAATCATACAAGACCAGGGACAACCTGGCTAACAGACTGTCTCTTAAAACTCAAATCAATATCCTAGCCAGCAACAGTAGTGCACAGCTGTAAAAAACCCAATCCTCAGGACAGAGGCAAGGATTTTTTTTTTTTTTTTTTGGTTTTTCAAAACAGAGTTTCTCTGTGGCTTTGAATGCTGTCCTGGAACTAGCTCTTGTAGTACAACCATCACCCAGCTAGAGGCAAGAGGATCTTGAGGTTGAAGCCAGCCTGAAAGATCCTGTCTTTAATTTTAAAAACAGCCTGGGCAGTAGTGGAACACGCCTTTAATCCCAGCACTTGGGAGGCAGAGACAGGTGGATCTTTGTGAGTTTGAGAGAGGCCAGCCTGGTATACAGAGAGAGTTCTAGGAGAGCCAGAGTACACAGAGAAATCCTGTCTCGAAAAACAAAAACAAAAAAATTCCTTCAAATCACTGAGCTGAGTGAGAACTAGGGTTATGAAAAGAATACCTCCACAAGGTCCTTTCTTGGTCTCAGTTTTAGAAGAGGTTCACTGAGACGGATGGAGCACATTCCTCCTCTTCCTTCATAGGTACAAATCCCAGCACACCTGGAAAGCAGTCACAACAGTGGATTAGGTTCACCGAGAATCAGCAGAGACCGATCAAATAAGTAAATAAATCCTAGTCTGTCGTGGTGGAGCACGCCCTTAATGCCAGGACTATGGAGAGAGAGACAGGCATATTTTTGAGTTCCAGGCCAGCCAGGGACACACAGTGAGGTCCTGTCTCAAAAACAAAACAATAAACATAAGCAAATTCTTACGGGTTCTTGGGCAGTTCGGAGGAAAGAGTCCCTGGTGGGAGACAGCTTTCCTGAGTGGGACACTTGAATGCAGGCAGTAAGCCTTGCTCATCGTCACCCACTCTGCTCCACAAAGGCATTCATCAGCAGGGAATGGTTTAGTCCCCACGACTGCCTGGGTACTTCTCCAAAAGGGCCATAGGGTTGGTGTGAAGTTAGATGTACACTACATAATGAAAGGTTCAGGCATTACGCTGGCCTGCCCCTGTCACCTGGGAGAATGCACTCAGGCAGCACTCTGGTCAGCCCAGGGTTCCATGAGTACAGCTGCACGCAGGTGCAAAGGACCCCTTTTAAAAGACAGACCCCCCACCCACTTACACTCTCTGCTCTCTCCTCTTCTCCCTCTCGTCTCTCTCCTGTCTCCCCCCCTGTAATAAACTATGGTTAATGCATCTCTCGTATCTCGTGTGCCATCTCGAGCCTTCTAATAGCAATCTTTAACAAAGGGACAACTCATACTACAGCTCGCCCTGCTTTTTACTGCAGGTTGCTTGCTATGTGTCGGCGTAAGTGAAGGGCAAATTATGATCTCGAATGGGATTTCTCAAATTCAATGGGTAGAAAAGGAATCCTGTTGGTACATCACTGAGGGCCGTTAGGCCCGGCCCACTCTGGAACATAGGCACGTCTCCAGGTGACCTCTCCCTCCACCGCGAGGCGGGGACACCAACGACAACTCAGCGGCCTCGCCTTCCCTACGTTCCGAGCCGTTCGTGGGCGCACTCACAGTGTCATGCGCACACTCCACTTCACTTCCACCGCCTCCAGCTGACCCCAAAAGAAGCGGTCGTTAAACTGCAAGAAGAGCGCCTGCAGGTCCGGGGTGGGGTCCACCAGCTCCCAGGAAGCATCCACCAACGACACGGACTCCCGCGCCGCCGCGCGCCGTGCCACCTGCACGTCCCACTCCTCCTGCAGCCGCAGCGCAACCACCAGATCCTCGTCCATCCCGCCACTCTCGCCCAAGTTACTCCGAAAACGCAGGTCGCGCTCGCGCAGCACACTGGTCTCGCGAGAGCTCCGGGCCCGGCTGCCGGGTGCGCGAGGGCTCGCCTCGAACGCCTAACTGAAAGTGGCCCTGAGCAGCCCCGCGGGCACAGGCTTAGGAACGCGGGGCTCGGGACAGGGAAGGCTCCAGGAAGCCGGTTGCCTCCTGAACGCCCCTGAAGTCCACCACCTCACGTCAAATCTTGCCCGTGCCCGAGCTCCCTCTGACTTCCGTACTGGCTCGTCCGCGCACGCGCCTTAAGTCGCTGCCGTTTGCGCGCAGGCGCGCCGTCGGCACTCCGTCCCTGGCGCAGGCGCAGTACGAGCGTATCGACTCCAGCACAGGCGCAATGCAGCGCTCAGCCCCGGCGCAGGCGTTTGGGTGTTGCTCCCGCCCCGCTTCCTCAGCCGTCTTCTCCGCCGGGCTCGGGTGGGGTGGGGCCCAACGGCGGCGAGTGACAGCGACTGCGAACTGCGGGAGAAGGACGGGTGTCAGCCATGTCGGACAGCGGGGCGAGTCGCCTGCGAAGGCAGCTGGAGTCTGGGGGCTTCGAGGCGCGGCTGTACGTGAAGCAGCTGTCGCAACAGTCGGACGGCGACCGCGACCTGCAGGAACACCGGCAGCGCGTGCAGGCGCTGGCGGAGGAGACGGCACAGAACCTGAAACGCAACGTCTATCAAAACTACCGGCAGTTCATCGAGACGGCGCGCGAGATCTCGTACTTGGAGAGCGAGATGTATCAGCTGAGCCACCTGCTGACAGAGCAGAAGAGCAGTCTGGAGAGCATCCCGCTGGCACTGCTGCCCGCCGCCGCCGCGGGCGCCTCCGCGGGTGAGGACACGGCGGGCGCGGGGCCGCGGGAGCGCGGGGCGGCCCAGGCAGGCTTCTTGCCCGGACAGACAGGCATCCCCCGCGAGGGTCCTGGTACCGGTGAGGAGGGCAAGCAACGCACGCTCACCACGCTGCTGGAGAAGGTGGAGGGCTGCAGGGACCTGCTGGACACGCCAGGCCAGTACCTGGTGTACAACGGGGACCTGGTGGAATACGAGGCCGACCACATGGCCCAGCTGCAGCGCGTGCACGGCTTCCTCATGAACGATTGCCTGCTGGTGGCCACCTGGCTGCCACAACGGCGAGGCATGTACCGCTATAATGCGCTTTACCCGCTGGACCGCCTGGCGGTGGTCAACGTCAAGGACAACCCACCTATGAAAGACATGTTCAAGCTGCTCATGTTCCCTGAGAGCCGCATCTTCCAGGCAGAAAACGCTAAGGTTAAACGGGAGTGGCTGGAAGTGCTGGAGGAAACCAAGAGGGCGCTCAGTGACAAGAGGAGGAGAGAGCAGGAGGAGGCAGCGGCCCCTCGTGCGCCACCGCCTGTGACTTCCAAGGGCAGCAACCCGTTTGAGGATGAGGATGAGGAAGAACTGGCCACCCCCGAGGTGGAGGAGGAAAAGGTAGACCTCTCCATGGAGTGGATCCAGGAGTTGCCCGAAGACCTGGATGTCTGCATTGCTCAGAGGGACTTTGAGGGCGCGGTGGACTTGCTGGACAAATTGAATCACTACCTGGAAGATAAGCCCAGCCCACCTCCTGTCAAAGAACTGAGGACCAAAGTGGATGAACGAGTGCGACAGCTCACTGAGGTGCTGGTGTTTGAGCTCTCCCCGGATCGTTCTCTGAGAGGTGGCCCTAAGGCTACTCGCAGGGCAGTGTCCCAGCTGATCCGACTGGGCCAGTGCACTAAGGCTTGTGAGCTGTTCCTGAGGAACAGGGCAGCAGCTGTGCACACTGCCATCCGCCAGCTTCGAATTGAGGGCGCCACTCTGCTCTACATTCACAAGCTGTGTCACGTCTTCTTTACCAGCCTCCTGGAGACCGCAAGGGAATTTGAGACAGACTTTGCAGGCACGGATAGTGGCTGCTACTCTGCATTTGTGGTCTGGGCAAGGTCTGCAATGGGCATGTTTGTGGATGCTTTCAGCAAGCAGGTTTTTGACAGCAAGGAGAGCCTGTCCACTGCAGCTGAGTGTGTGAAGGTGGCCAAGGAGCATTGCCAGCAGCTGGGAGAGATTGGGCTGGATCTCACCTTCATCATCCATGCCCTGCTGGTGAAGGACATCCAGGGGGCCTTGCACAGTTACAAGGAGATTATCATTGAAGCCACCAAGCACCGAAACTCAGAGGAGATGTGGCGTCGGATGAACCTGATGACCCCTGAGGCCCTGGGAAAGCTCAAAGAGGAGATGAGAAGTTGTGGGGTCAGTAACTTTGAGCAGTACACGGGAGATGACTGCTGGGTGAACTTGAGCTACACAGTGGTAGCTTTCACCAAGCAGACCATGGGCTTCCTGGAGGAGGCACTGAAACTGTACTTCCCAGAGCTACACATGGTGCTCTTGGAGAGTCTGGTGGAAGTCATCCTGGTTGCTGTGCAGCATGTGGACTACAGCCTGCGATGTGAGCAGGACCCAGAGAAGAAGGCATTCATCAGACAGAATGCATCCTTTCTTTATGAAACTGTCCTCCCTGTGGTGGAGAGGAGGTTTGAGGAAGGTGTGGGGAAGCCTGCCAAGCAGCTCCAGGACCTGCGGAATGCATCTAGACTTCTTCGGGTGAACCCTGAGAGCACCACTTCTGTGGTCTGAGGCCTGAGGCCCTGGTCTGCTCTGCGTGTGTTTGTGTATTCATGTACTACAGATGTATTATTTGTATTTACATTAATTATACTTGTCAGCACATTCCTCAGAGTTACAACAGCATATACATGGTTCCCTCTTAGAAATGTAATAAAAGGAGAAAGAAAATGTGTTAAGTGCTCTCCCCATATTGGAATTATTAGAGCATATACCATCCTTTTATATTAACTCCTTAAGGAATGTATGATCATACTGTGGCATTTCAGATTGACCTCTGACTTGAAACAGTTCTCACAGTAGGGCATCCTGGGGCATTGCACTTCTGTGCTACCTAGAAAAATGTGTAAACCTCATAGGGTTTTACATGTTACGAAGTCTCCCAATTCAGCAAAATTGTAACTTTTTTTTCTAAGATTTATTTATTATGTATACAGCATTCTGTCTGTATATATGCTTGCAGGCCAGAAGGGGGTGCCAGATCTCATTACAGATGGTTGTGAGCCACCATGTGGTTGCTGGGAATTGAATTCAGGACCTCTGGAAGAGCATCTGGTGTTCTTAACCTCTGAGCCATCTCTCCAGCCCCAAAATTGTAACTTCTTGATTGTCAGTGCTATGCAATACACACACTTTATGTACTCAGCTAATCAATCGGGTGGAAAGAAAGGAGTAGGGAAAATTGGTTTGGGGTGAATTTGAGTAAGTGGACACCAGATTCTCCAATGTTTGTGGTGCATGGAAGGAAGCCTTCATGAAACAACTGCAGGTATCCAAAAGTCACTGAAAAGGTAGCATGTTCCATAGCTAATTGATATCACAGAATTTCACTTGGGTGCATCTTTTTGATAATCACAAGGACTACAGTGGAATTTTTAACATATTCCAGAACTGAATGGCTGCCTAGCCGTAGGCAAGTAGCAGGCCCCTGCAGACACCACCAGCCTGGTTTAGGAGCCACTGAGACTTAAGGCAAACACAGAGCTCCTTACTTGAATATTTACTGGGAGTTCAGGGTCTCTAAATTAGGAGTTAGAAAAAGAATGCAAATCTCACTGATTAAGAATGCCCCGAGTAGAGAGCAGAGATTTGTTTCTGTTCACTTGAGATAGGTTTCAGCCCAGGCTGGTGCCCTGAACTGGTTTTGTAGTCAAGGAAGACCTTGAATTTCTAACCCTCCAACTCCACTTCTCAAGGGCTGGGATTATAGGTGTGTGCCACCATGCCCAATTTATGCTGTGTTGGGAAACAAACCCAGAGCTTTGTGCACAGTAGTCAAGCACTCTCCACTGAGATATATCCTCTGCCCTGATAGTTTGTCTGTTTTTCTTTGGTAACTTAGTGGATAACTGAGGGGAGATAGATAAGCCTCAAGCACAGGGAATGACCTTTTGTGACTCTTCAAATGCTGTGTTGCACTTTAAAACACAAGATCCAGGAATGCTGGTGTATGCTTTTAATCACTGCACTGGGAGCAAGAGGCAGGTGTATCCAAGGCCAGCTGGTAAACAAGGTGAATTCCAGGACAGCCAGGCCTCTACAGAGAGACCCTGCCTCTAAAGCAACAAAAAACAACTTTTAAGAGAACTGTAGTTTATAATGCTTATTTCAGGTTGTTCAGTAAGGAATAGGGGTGGGAGCTAAGATTCATAAAATGCTCTGCTCTTTACTGATTATCTAATGCTCTCTATTAGAAAGTGTTTTCAAAGACCCATTTTCCCACTAGCTTCTAGCTCCGGTTTTTGTTCATGCTGCCATGTGTTTATACCATTGGTTCTAAGGATTACTTCTTGTCTGAATAAAAAGTAGTATTAAGATATAAGATTAGGTAAACTCTTACATGGTTTCTGCAGTCATTTAGGGTTACAAAACCCCTAGGCTTAGTTAACTCATTTTTTTTCTTTCTAAAATGTTGGAAATCACCATTGCAGATTTTTACTGACTTTTTTTTTCATGTTAGGCTTTTTTTTTTATGACAGGGTTTCTCTGTGTAACCCTGTTTTGGAACTTTTAACGAAGACCAGGCTGGCCTTGAACTCGATAGAGAGCTTCCTGCCTCTGCCTCCTAAGGGCTGGAATCAGAGGCTTGTGCCACTATGCTGGGCTATGTTAGGATTTTCTACATGACCAAACAAAAATACTAATTGGTCTTAAGATCACTGGAAACTTGAATTTCATAGAATTGTGTGGTTGTGATGACTCTTTGGTGCCACTTGGAGTTTAATATGCAAGATGTTCTGTGTGAATCCAGTACTGGGTTTGGGGGAATGGAGAGCTCTCTTAGGACACAGAGCTATAAGAATGCCAATGTGTTTCCCCACATGATAACAAATAGTTGTAACTTTATTGAGATGGAAGGAGAGAATCTTATTCTGTTAAGCCTGGGAAATCCGTGTAGGAAGCTGACTGGATCCATCTTGGTGCCAGACACTTGGTACACTTCACTGTCCCCTCAGATAGGGTCAGAGCTCCTCTGACTCCCATGTTTCATCAGACTCCGAGCAAGTTCTAAAGGATCATCTGGCACAGTGATTGTTCCGTTTGTACTGATACCCCACTTCAACATTTCCTTTTCTTGTTTGCTTCCAAACTAAACACAAGGACCAGGAATCACAGATGGAA